AGCAAAGGCCTTGCAACCGGATGTCTTCCCAAAAGACAGTCTCGCAGACTCAGGGACTAGTTTGTGGGTTGTGTGAATTAACTTGTGTGTTCTTCCTTCCGTTTTCATAGGGCGTAAGCCTCTGATCTCATTATCTGAGTGACTATTCGCACGATACAGGCCTCACTGAAGAAACCTATTGGCAGCACCGCCTCCTGAGACTCAGTGGTTCGGTTGAACTAAGTTGGCTGGGTTGGCGAAGTGTGGGGTGGTCTGTGGGCTTCACTGTGAAACTGGTTTCCTCTTCTGCCCTAATGGCTTGGACAGAAAGGGCCCAGAATTATAGCCTTTTGGGGAGCAAAGGAAGCGCTGGGCCTTGTGAGAAAGGAGGGCTCCGAGTGTAGTCCTCCCAGAGCCCCCGAGGTTGGACGTTGTAAATCGAAACCTGCTTCTTCCAAGGTTAATTGTTGGGCCATTCACCAAGGCTCCATGTGGACGGGCCCGTTTGCTGGGTTACATTGCCTCTGTTCTAATGATGGGTTGGGGATGACACCTTCTCCAAAATCCTCCTTTCTAAAACTTTAGACAACACATAATCTCGGCCATTATTTACTAATGTCAGTTAACTACTTAGTGCATTTGATTCCCTCTCCGTAAGTGAAAGGGCAGCTCGCTCTTGACGTACAAGCTCTCCAGACCAAATGTGAAGTAAGGACCCAGGTGGTTCTCAGTGTTGCAGAAGTTAGGAAGGAGGGACTTGGTCAGATACGCAGAGGACTCCTGGGAACAGTGATGGCCGCTGCGGCTCGCCATGCGGTGGGAGTCATCAGAAGATGAAGACATTGAAGAGAGGATGCGTGAGATTGACTAGGCGGCTTTTATATCTCTGACAGGTGTGTTCAAGTCCAAAGAAAGAGATAACCCAGAGAAGTGTGACTTTCTGGCATAAAGTTGTGACCTCTTTTCCAAAGGAAACCGTCAGGCCCTTGGGCTATCGAAATTTAAGAGGCTTAGAATTCTGTATGTTTAAGTCTAGGCAGCACTCATTCTGGAGTTGATCTTATTTAAAAATTGATTTATTGTGTTAATAGTGAACCAGTTCAAAATTAGTGAGTTTGAACGTGGTCGCATCTACCCCTCCCCCCATCAAGGGTCTTTCCTATCAGGGAACCCACCCTATCAATTTCTTGTGATTTCTGCCAAAGATATTTTATGCTTATACAAGTAAGTATGTACAAGTGTTCTTTTTTCCACAAATGGTGTGATATGCTGCCTAAAAAAAATAGAACACATATATACTAATGTGAATGATCTCTAAGATATTGTTAAAGGGAGAAACCACTTAGGTTTCTTTTAGGCTGTTTACAATCTTCTGTTATTACAACAGTGTTACAGTAAGTAACTATGTTCATAAGTCATTTCCCATGCGCATGTATATATGTCTGAGGACAATTCCTAAGAGTGGAATTGCTGGGCCCTTGCGTTTATAAAATGTTTCTGGTGTTGCCAAATGGCCCTTCCGAGGTTATGGCATTCGAGACTCCGCTTCCCCGCCATGCATGAGCGCGCCTGTTGCCCCCTCCCAGCATAACAGGATCATGTTGTCTGATATCCGCTAATGTGATAGGTGGAAAATGGAGTTTACAGTAGTTTTAGTTATTTCTTATATGAAATTCTGTAAGGAAGAATTTCTGTGATGGTTCTTTTTTTCCTCCTCCTTTCCTCAGCTTTTCTTTCATTTTTCTCTCTTCCTATTGCCTAAGCAGTCCGTCATCTCTCAGCTCTCATAGCTCCGTTTTGAGTTTGTCCTTTATGAAAGCAGTTGCTTCATTACATTTAAAGACTCCGTGGTGGACCCTGCCTATGTGGGCCAGCTGGTTGCTGTGTCGCCCGCACACAGAAAGGGTGTGGGTCCTATCCCCGCTCAGGGCACAACGGAGGTTGCAGTGCAGCCCAGGTTGGAGCGTGTACGGGAGGCAACAGATGGATGTCTCTCTCACATCGACGTCTCTCTCTCTGTCTCTTTCTCTCCCTCCCTTCCCCTCTCTGAAATCAGGAAGTGTTTCCTCGGGTAAGGATTAAAAGAAAAATTCATGGTGAAGTTCATAGTCATTGTTTTCATCTGCTAGATGGTAACCCTTTTTTCTGAAGGGTCAGTCATTCGGTAAACTTTTGAGTGCTTGCTGTTGTGATCACCTGTGTCCTGGATTTTACATTCCAGGCACACAGATAACAAAATAGATTCGAACTTATTTTAGAAGGTGGGAAGTGCCACAGAGCAGAATCCAGGAGGGCTGAGACGGGTCCGTGGGGATGGGGGGGCGGTTTGAAAGAGGGGTGGTCAGGGAAGCCTCCCTATAGTGGTGTCATTTGAAGTCATATAGTGAAGTCATCTCCATGACTTCATGGAGATGAGGGAGCAAGTGGTAAAGAGGAATTATTTACGACACTTGTTGAAAGTCAGTGAGGCAGCCTTTATTCAAGGGGAACTGATGCGGTAGGCGTAGGGACCACTGCGTGGGGTCTTGCCGTTGGGAAGAGATTGGGCTCCACTGGGAGTAGAGCGTGGGCAAGTGGGAACGGACAGCCAAGGAGCAGGGTGGGCATCAGTGGATGGAAGATTACCGAGAGGAGGCGTTAGGGGTGGGGGGATTCTGGCTAAACCAGCCTGACAGGACTCTTGCTGAAGGTGGGCCGGATGCACAGACGCCATCTGGGAGCGGGGGTGGAGAGGAGGAACCTGATCGAAGGTGGTCAGATGTGGAGGATGACTACCCTGACTTAGCGGAATTCTCACCCAAATTGGGCACGGCAGAAATGAACATGAAAATTCAGGAACTGAGCCCCAGTAGAAAGAGAGTTCAGGGGAGGCTGAGTAGAGTTTGGTCAAGGAGACGCGGCCACAAGTCACATGGGTGTCGGGAGGAGGAGTGTCCAGGTGGCGGGAAGAGCACGTGCCACTGCCCCAGGCTGGACCGTGCAGGCAGGTTAAAGGGACACGGGGCGGGGGGGTAGCAGGGAGGGTGTGCCGGGTGCTGGGGCCTGGTAAGAGATGAGGTCCGATGGTCAGGAGGAAGGGCACCCTGCCTTTGTGGCCATGGGAACGAGGGGCCGGCGTTTGCCCTGAGTGAGAGGGAGCTCTGCAGCACCCCCGTAAGCAGGGGTGGTGCCATCCGCCTTGTGTGTGCGCCCTCGGCTGCTGGGGTTCCCTTCCTCCCCCTCTCATTTTTAAATCCATCACATGTCCTGTGTTTCTGCTGGTTCTGCTAATGTCGCCTTCTTGTAAGAGATGAATTTATTCCTAGAACAAGCCAGCTGAGGTTTTCTGTGTGATTTTCTTTCCTTTTTCTTGTGCAATAAGCAGCCAGGGGAGGCTCCCACAGCGCCGAGGGCTCCGTGCCTCTGCTGCCCCTTCCTGCATCCTGCGTCCCACGTCCCGCGTCCCACCTGGGTGCATCTGCGGGACTTGCGGCCCCTAGGGCCGGGCTGGTCCCTGCTGCCATGGGGCCTCGTCGTGGCTTTTCCCCTGTTGTGCCCACCCCTCCCCAGCCACCAGCCCATCTTCACTTTTTTAAGCAGCTCTTCGTCCTATTTCTTAGTAATAAACTGTCTCCTTCTCTGGAAGTGAGTTGGTTTTGTTTCTTGGTCTTTTGGGTGACTTCCAGGAAGCCAGAGGGCATGCTATTGATGTCACCATCTTCAAACCCAGAGTCCTCATTATGGGTTTGATATCCAGTTCCCAAGAACAAGAAAGAGAAAACCGGTGTCGTGTGGTAGTGGCCTTGCACATGTAGAGAAGCCGGAGTGAGAAAGCGTCTCTCACACCCGTACGGTGGTGGTTCATGCTGAGCATAGCCAGCTGGGCTGTAGAGGCCAGCGGTGACCAGGAGCCTTCAAGCGTCTTGTTCCAGCCTGACCTTTCGGTTTGTGGTTGAAGACGGCTGGTCAGGGCCTTTCTCTCGACTTGGCTCCTCCCGGGCAGAGCCGAGAGCTGACTCGCCGCAGGCTCCGTGGGGCGTGGTTCCCCTGAACGCGGCCCCTCGCAGAGGGGCCTGGTTTCGCAGTGCTGGGGGGCCCAGGCGCCCGTGCCGGCCTGCTGATGGGGGGCACGGGCCCAGGCCCTGTGAAGGGGAGAGCTGTGCCGTGCAAAGCACTGGGATCTGCCGCCTTGTGTCCTGCGCGCACGCACGTGTGGGTTCCACTCGCTCTCGTCTGTGTTTCTTAACCTTTCTCAAGTCAAGGGGCTCCTTGGTGACAGGCCGAAGCTATGGCCCCTCTCCCTAAGGAACAGCGCGCGTGGGCAGGATTTTGTGGTGTTTCTGGGGCTCACTGCCGTCCTTGAACCCGTGACTGGCCTCTCTTGGAGGTCATGGCCCTGAGGCAACGTGCCTCCATGTACTTCGCTGCGGGAAGTACTGCCACTCTCCAGAGCCGTAACCTTGCTTTCTCCTTGCTGAGAGTTGTAGGGACAAGCCTGTGGGGGAAGTTCTTGGGGTTTTCCTTAATTTTTAATTATTCAGGTTCATTCCATCCTCCTCTGCAAGGATTAAGCAAGAATTGTCCAGTATATAAGGCGGGCGGGGCAGGGGAGGGCACTGGGGGAAAAATGGGGGCAACTGTAAGTGAACAATAAAAACAATATTTTTTTGAAAAAGAATTGTCTGATATACCTAAAACTAATACAATGTTATAGATCAATTATATCTCAAATAAAAACAAGGAAAGATTGTTTGCTCATTATCTTGGGTTTTAACTTGCTGAAATATCTTCTCTTTCTAAATTTTTGGCTCCTTGGGCTATACTTGGACTAATTCAGTACCCTCTTGTTGGGAGGAATTGAATAGACCTGTCTATGGTTAGAATGCCTAATTTATCTATGAATATTTTATTAATTTTGTATTCTCTTCACTATATTCTTTCTTAATTAAAATCAAAGAATGACAGAAGAATCCCTTGGGTCATAAAATATTTACTCTGCTTACTTCCAAGGTACTTCACTGCTTTTTCCTTCTTATGCATAGAAATCAAGGAAGAGAAGCTTCTACTGATGTTGTGATTATAATACGCCAACCAGTGGTCAACCCAGATCCCGGTCCCAAGAGGTTAACTGAAAAACGTTCTAACAGAAGAACTTCCCTCAGGTGCTATTGTGGTGTTTAGTTGATAAAGTTTATGAGATTATTCTGTATCATTTTATTTCTGGGACATACTAGTAAAGTATGTTTTTTAAAATATACTGGTGGATTTAAATTTTTAAAAATTAGATTTCTGTTTCACTTGAGTTATAAAAAAAGTTAATAAAATTAATTTTACATTTAAAAGTTATTTCAGAGGAATTTTCATTTAATACACTCATGGGCTTTTTTTGCGTTAAGAACAAAATAAGTTCTGTTCCTTGAATTCTCTACTCCTTGAAATCTGCTTAAAATGGAGATGATCATGTTTTTCTTTTTATTCGTTTAAAGATTTTGTTTGTTTAGAGAGAGGGGAGGAGGGGGGGAGGGAGAGAAACATTAAATGAGAGAGAAAAAACATTGATTGGTTGCCTCTCTCATGTTCCCTAACTGGGGACCAAACCTGCAACCCAGGCATGTGCCCTGATGGGGAATCAAACTGGCGACCTTTTGGTTCATGGGATGGTGCCTAACCTCTTAACAGAGCAGCCAGTGGGGTTCTGTTGCTTGCTGCCTATAGGCAGAACTCTGGAGTCAGAAGTTCGGTGGAAAAGGGGAGGGGTTGTTTACTTATAGTCTATACAGTTTTGGAATAATGGCAGGTTTCTGCCTCAAAGCCCCACTCCCTTTAAAACACCCAAGGACAAATAATCCTGCCACCCTTTGCCAGGCCAGACCCATTCCAGAATGTACCTGAAACCCTTTTCGCACTTAAGGTACCGTCCTTGGGGGAACACAGGTGGCTGTAGTAGGCTCATCCAGGCTGCTTGGCCGGTTCCTGGTCACAGTTCGGCTCCAGGCGTCCCTCTCGAGTCTCCGTGCGCCTGGCTGGGCAGGGCCGCGGGGCACAGACAGTGCCTCCGTTGCTTTCCGTGGGGGTGGGGGTACCCGTCCGCTCCCTGGCCACGTGGCCTCCGGGGCCCACTGGTCTCGGGAACTCGCCGCTGCAGCTGACCCAGCTAGTGAGGGGAAGGGAGAAGACCGCATGCGTGTTCCCCGGCGTGTCCCATCTTAAAGACTTAGCCCAGAAACACACGTGCAATGGGAGCGTCCAGCGTTTCAACCGGCACGCGCGATGTCTGCCGTGCTTGTCAGCCAGTGTCTTTGACCTTCCTGCTGCCATCGTGCAGGAGGGGGCAGCGGTTCCCAGCTGCGCACAGCGGCACATCGTCTGTTTGCCCCGGCCAGGGCGTCATCTTGTTATATATGAGGTTTGGGACCTTTCCAGCCCAGACATTCTCCGTGCAGCCTGTGTCCCCAGCTGCGTTAATTGTTTCCTGCCCCTGGGGACGTGGAAGCCGCCCCAGCTCCAGTGTCAGTGCCAGGCTGCCTTTGGCACTTCCCATCTCCTCCCTGGGAGGCAGGCTTTTTTGCCCGCTGCAGCTTCGATCCCCTGCCTCGGAGTTTCTTCCCGCCTTCTCGTCCAGGGGGCAGCTTCTCATGCTGGGTTGGGGTTTCCCCCCTCTGCACTTCAGCAATCTAGCCTAACCAACCCTGTTAGGAACCCACTGAGTCACACTGATCAGGGCTGTTTGTTTTTGAATCTCAGGAGAGAGAGAAACATTGACGTGAGAAAGAGCTTTGATTGGTTGCCTCCCTTATGCACACAGACCAGGGATCATCCAGCCCATGCCTGAAGTGGGGATCAAACCCACAACCTAGGTGTGTGCCCTGACCAGAATCAAACCCGCAGCCTTTCAGTTACGGGATGACACTCCAGCCCACTGAGCCACACCAGCCAGGGCTGATTGTGTTTGTTTTTAGACTACAGGGCTTTGGGAAAGAAAAACAAAATACTTAGCACATTTCAGGGACATAGAATATTTCCTGCTCCCAAAACTTCATGTAAGATAAGGACTTGATGGAAGTTTTTTCACTAGAAGACTAGTGGAAATAAAGGGTAAACAGATTTAAACAGCAATAGGGACAGTTTTTTTAATGCTTTGATCTGCAGGCCATTTTCAAAAATTTATGTAAAATTTTTTTCCTTTTATTTATAGATTTCAGGGGGAGAGAGAGAAAGAGTAATTTGTTGTTCCACTTATTTATGCATTCTTTGGTTGATTCTTGTACGTGCCCTGACCAGGATTGATCCCGCAACACTGGCGTGTCGGGACGACGCTCTAACCAACTGAGCCACCTGGCCAGAGCCATGGAGGCCATTTTCAATTTTTTCTGGTCTTTCTTCCTTTCTTTTGGTTTAGTTGTCAACAATTTTCTGTCATATTACCATTTGGCAACAATCATGCTGCATTTCTGAAGGTCATTTAAGAAACTCGTTGTTTTGTGTTTATTGTACAGTCTCTTTCCGCTCTGGGTGATGCTATTTAATCTCCTCAGCTTCCTTTTCCTCTCAACTCACCCTCTCCCCAGAGGAAATTGAGACTATCAAATTCTGTGGTGACAGGAAGAAACTGCCATAAAGAAAGAATGTAGTTGATGTCCGTATTATCTTACTTGGTAATTATCTTTAGATAAATGAATAGATGATCCGTTGTGAAATCTTTCTTAAACGATTTATGAATCCGGGACATCTGGGCTTGAGCGTTTGCCAGCGGGAACCAGGACGTGGCCGGACCTGGAAGCTCTGCAGTGAGAAGGCCGCACCGCCTTCGCGCAGCAGGTCGGCAGCCTCAGACCTCGGCCCTAGGCGTGCTGGGCTGGCTGCTGTGTTCGGTGACTTAAGCACTCAAAAATGCGTGGCTGTTTTCGTCAGCGTACTTTAGAAACAACCTAGAGACAAAGGGTTCAATTTCGTTGCGCTCCTCCAGACGAGATCTTTACCATTCTGGTGGCTTTGACTCTGCCATTCGCCCCGGTCCTTGTCTTTGCCCTTTCGAAATCAGACATTTGCTAGAACTCTCCCAGCCAGGAATGAGGTTGTGTCTGGGAGGCTGAGGTGGGAGGAAGTTCCTTGCCCACAGCGTGTGTCCTGCCTGGGCTGTGATTATCAGTAGCCACCCCCACCCCGCCCTGGGCCCGCCCTTCTCACCCTGGCCTTCAGGTGTCTGGTCCCACACGAGCGCTCAATGAATGTCTGCATCTTAGAACAAATTGATTGTGAAGGAGGCTTCCTCTTGCTTCATGGTGCAGGAAGAGACATCCTAATTTGGCTGGTGGCTGTCCCCTCTCGTAGGAAATGCTCTCGGGTGTGGTGGTCATATGTGGAAAGGACTCTGTCCAGCACCAGGGCGTCTCTCTGACCGTGGAAGGAACTGTGAACCTCCAGCTCAGTGCCAAGAGTGTGGGTGTGTTCGAAGCTTTCTACAATTCGGTTAAGGTAAGAATGCTTGGGGTGCACGTTATTGGTTCATTATTCAAATGCTTGGGGTGGTTTTTACTTGCTTTACCTGGCTTTGTGATTGTTTGTTATTTTGCAAGTAGTGTAGTGATAGTTACACTTTTAATACTTACTAATCAAACGGAAAAGATGGATGTGTTGATTCTGAATAGATCCTGTTATTGAAAGTCCACTTGTGTTTATCCCCATTAGCGAGGATTAGGAGAGCCAGATGTGGCCTAATTCCAGCCTTGGCCAAGGCCAGTGCAGTCCCAGCAAGTTGGGCCTGTGGGTTCCGGCGGTCACCTCCTCGCTGCGGAGCAGCTGCCTTCCCTCCGGGTACGGCTGCTGGTGGACTGGACACTCGGCTAAGAGCAGTGGCCATTCTTTGTGTCACTTAGGGTAGAGGTCTGCGTTCCAGAATGGAACCCCTTTTTCTTTATTTCTAGTGCCCTTTCCCTGTGGGACATACTAACTCTAAGTTCTGAGGGAGAAAGAGTGAGGAGGAAAGGAGGGTTCATTAACAGTATTCCTGCCAGCGCCTTCCCGTGTTTCCTACAGTCTCCCGATTTCCCTTCGTAGGGAAAAGTAGCTCTCAGAGGTCGCTCTCAGAGACCCGCTTCAAGCACTGGCTTTTCTCAGTGACTCTGGGCTGCGGCTTAGAGCACCTCCCCTGAGAAAGGTGTCACGCTGCCTTTGGGCAGGTCCCAAGTGTAAGTCCTGTTGTCCTGCCCAGAGGCCCCGCACAGGAGCACGGGGGCTGGTGGCGTTCGAGCCCCGAGGAGTCGGTCTGCCTGGCCGACCGTCGAGCACGGGCGGGGCAGGAGGGCCTGGGAGTGGGCGGCAGCCCTCAGACAGCACCGTGACCGGGCCGCTTCTGTGCTTCATTCCAAAAACACAGCGCCAGCGGGGAGCCTGGCCGAGAGGCTTGGAGAGAGGAGGGGGGCCGCGGGCCTTGTGTGCGCCGAGCACCGAGGTGTGCCGGTGCCAGGGACCTGCCGGGCCCTCTGCTCCTCTCTCCAGAGCAGCGCCCGTCTGCCCCGACACCGGGACAGCCACCTTGAGGGTGCCCGTCAGGTAGACTGTGCGACACCAGGACTGGCAGGGGCTCTGACCCTTCGTGGGTGACTGAGTGGCTGTCTCTCTGCAGCCCATCCAGATTATCAACAGCACCATCGAAATGGTGAAGCCGGGGAAGTTCCCCAGCGGCAAGACTGAAATCCCGTTTGAATTCCCCCTGCACGGGAAGGGCAACAAAGTCCTGTATGAGACGTACCACGGAGTGTTTGTCAACATCCAGGTGAGTGTCCGAGTCCCACGCAGTTGCCTGGGCCGCTTTTTCCCGCTAAGCAGCCGTCCTTGCACTGCAAGTTACTCGACAGACCCAGACTTTAATCCTGTGTTCACTGCCATGATTGCTCGCGTGTACTCTGTCCAGTTCCCATTGTGCCCCGAGGAGCACGTTTCATGCCAGAGCTGCTTTGTCAGGAGCCCTGGGGGGCCCCTACTGTAACTTCTTAAACATCCCTTGTCTCTCGGCTCTGCCAGGCGGTGCGGACACTGTGAAGGGCGCTCTTATTGTCGGGCAACAATACACCCTCACTTCTGCCTGGCACCCGTGCTAACTTGTCTGTTTTTATTCATATAAATATCTCTTTGTCTAATGCCCAGAGGCGACTGCTTTAACATAGGCTTGTATTCTTTATTGAACAAACCTTGTAAACGAGGGGGCAGTGAATTTATGACTTCCTGTCCACCTCTGTGGTTCAGGATGTCTTTCACAGTCGCTATTGTTGTCTCGGGCGCAGCTTGGAGGCCTGAGTCAGAGAGGCAGAGAGCCTGTCCTTTATTCAGTGCAAAGAAAGGTACTTCTGTGATGTCAGCCTTGAGCGGCCCCCTTGCTGGATGAGATGACACACACTATTTTGTCTTACATAATGTGCAAGAGGACTGAAAGTTAGAAATTTTTTAATCTATTAATAAAGTTGTAGCTGATAATTTGATCTTTGTAAAGACCGTCCCCCTGCTTAATATAGAGCAGTTTTAAAATAAAAATCCTCCAAACACTTGGGAGAGTTAAACCAACGTGTATGTGAGTTTTATGAATTGCTTGAAGAAGCTGTCCAGGAGCACACGCAGTATATAATGTATCCTGTTGCAAAAGGTATCTTTCTGTGAAGAAGAAACACATCTCATCCTTTATTATCTGCACGCCCGTTTCCGATTGGAGCAGCGTATGTGCTAAAGGCTGTGGGAGCCCCCAGGAGGCTGCCTGGTACACATCCGACGGCCAGTGGGTGGACGCGAGTCCTCGACTAGCTTCCTGGGTTGGGCACACTTTCACCATGAACAAAAGTAAATGAAAAATGCCCTTTTAGCAAGACTGAAAATATGAATATTTCATTTTGAAAATTATTTTTATCCTCTTCCTGAGTTGGCATCAACGTGCTTTGCCCACACAGCTCTTTAATGCTGTTTATTTAATAATGTAAGTGTATGTTCACTAGAAACTGAGTAGAATAACATCGAATCTTCAGGGCCATACTTCTTGTTACCTTGTCCTATGTTTATCATTCTTGCTAAAGGATTAATGTGTTTAAAATAAAATTGGAAATTGCCTTCTTTTCCAAATATTACCAAGAAAGGCACACAGATCTACATACAAAACCATGACCCTGTGCCCCTGCACAGCTGTGTGGAGATTGGAAATGAGTTAAAACGCAAAGGAGAGTTGGCATGTGGTAACCTCCTGAGGAAGGCCAGTGATCAGTCACCCTGCTCCCCCTTGTTTCGGCCACCAGCTCTTACCATCCGAAGGCTGACCTCGGAGTGCTGCAGCTTGGAACCCTGCACCTCCCCAAACATGCCACAGGTTTCTAAAAACGAAGAGATTTCTTCTTAACCTCGTGTTTATAAGAGCTTATCACCCCTATACTTATCACCTAGGTTCAACATTTATTAGTATTTTGTCATTGTTGTTTCATTTGTACTTTTTCTGAATCTTTTCAAAGTTAGTTGACACTACATCTTGAAATACTCACATACCCCGAATATACTTTTCAGGTCCCTGTTCAGGCGCCAGCTGAGGGAGGGGGCAGGGCTCTGAATCCCGCAGAGGTCATCCCGGGGATTGTCACAGATGGGAGAAATAAAATGAGTCATCCCAGACACTTCTCTGTCTGCCAGGAGAGGGGCTGGCTCTTCCCTCCAGTGGAGAAGGCCCCGAGCCCCTGTGTCCAAAGGCTTTTATTGAAGGGGTTATCAGTGGGGCTAGGTAATAGGAATGTACCGGTGATCTCATTACATCAGTATGTTAATGTTCACAGAGAATAGATGATGTTTTGAAGAAAACAAATGGCAGGAACACACCGATTTCCATGGGTCCAAGAGAAGACGAGTAAACATGAGAGTGTAAACATAAGGGCGCCAAAGGGTTTAGGGTCAGGGTCTGTGAATAATGTAAATTTCCTTCCCAGCTTGAGCCGATTATCATAGCTTTTGAGGGCAAAACAAAGCATGCTTCAAGGAATTCACTTCTAGGCCTGATTTCCCTCGGGAACCGCCCGATCCTGTTTAGGGCTGTCTCCCGTGTTGTTTCAAGCCTGAGCCAGGCGGGAGGGGAGCAAGGCAGCCAGGAAATAAGGAGACTTCTTCCAGACAGAATGAGGACCCGGCCATATCAAAGCTGAGGGGTGAGGGTCTTTGTGCCCTTTATGTGTGTCCCCCAAGTTTTCCCCGGATGCCCATTGCGGCTGTGCCTGTCTTAGGTTACCCTTTCCATCGAGGGGTCTTACGCGCCATTGACCAGCCAGCCGTCCTCCAGGGCCAAGCAGGGCGATGTGAGGGAGGCAGGGGCTGTGTCCCTGCAGGGAGACAGGTTTTGTCTCCTCAGTGGCCTGTTTTCCCACGGCCTCCTTGCTCAGCTCCCACCTTGGGGCCCTCTCGTCTGTCGGCGAGGCTGCAGTTCCTGAAACCAGATGGGACGTTTCCCAACAATATCCATTTTCAAAAAATAGGCACATTCTCCTAATAATTACAGTTAACATTTTCACACCTATCAAAGTGAACAAAATTCTCAAATATCATCTAATTCCCAATTCATATTCAAATTCATCATTACTCCTTTGGAAAAATAGACTTCTTGAGATAAACTAGAATTATGGGCTTTTTTAATCACTTTTACTCATCATTCATTCTTTCTGTTTCTAGATGGGTCTTTTTCTAGCTACCTGGTTTTACAGGGGAGGGAGTGCCGCCCAGAGAAGACAGGGACCGCTAGTCACCCAGGCCGCCTCTGCCCAGGGGCACGGGCACCCGCCCTCTCTGGGCCGTTGCTCCCTGCACTTACTCTGGAGATTGACGAGGCGTTAACTTTGGATAGAAAGTGGTGGTGTTCGACCCTAATAACATCCTTCTCCAATTATACAGGTGCGAAGAAATTTCACACTTACACTTTGAATTGTGCTGCAGTGATATAGTGTAAATAGTAAAGATCATAAGACAGAATAAAGGATTTAACATGTAGCCAGTATCAAGCGCCCAGCCTACAGGGGCTGGGTCACTTGTTGCTTCCTGGCGGAAGGGTTTGCTGCTATCTGCTCTCCCTCTGCCACTCCATCCTGCGCGTTCCTGCTCAGCTTCGTCGTTGGGCAATGCGCGCAAGGGTCTCTTGGGGCCACCCCAGCAAGGCTTCATACCGTGACGCCCCTCAGAGCAGCACCAGCGTGTCTGCTGAGACTGTGTGTTCAGCGTTAACCCACAGAGATGCCAGTCGCCCTTTCTCGCAGTTTAAAAAATACCCTCTCCGGGATCTGCTTTCAGGCCATGGATGAGCATCCTCTTTCTTTGTGCCTGTTGATGTTGTGTTTGCTGATAGTCGAAAAAGATTGAACCTTGCCCCTTTCCTGGTGCTCTGCTCAGGGGTGGCCACCCCGACTCCCTCTGACTCCTGTCGCTCATACCCCCTGGGTCCCGCCTTCGTAATCGGGAACGATCATGGTAAAGTGGGAAGACCCAGAGCTTTGCAGCAGACCAATCTGAGCTCGAAGTGACAGCATCGTGTAAAGAAGCAGAGCGTGGGTTTTGGCAGCAGGAAGCTTACATTCAGATACCCCTCTGTGACCCCAGCAGCCTTTGCGACCTCTCCTCCTGGGGGATTAATGAGGTCTTGGCGTGACAAGCTTAGCAGAGTGCCTGGCATGAGCAGTGTGCCAAGTGTGTATTTGCTGAAAGACTGAATAAATGAATGAATGGTGACTCTCTTATTATATTTGTATTGTTAGAAGTGAAGCAGCGCCAGTTCCAAAAACAGCATCAGTGTTTCTTCTGTCTCCCCCTCTGTCCCCTCCCCCACGTACACACCAGCTGTTTTAGCTGAGGGGGAACCCAAGAAAACCCCCCAGAATTATGTGCTGGAGAGCAGGCCCCTTGCAGTACTTCCCCCGCGAAGTGAGTGTTCTAGGAACCTACCTGCATCAGTGGACCATCTGGCGGTGCTGGGAGAGGCTGCGTTCAGCTGCAGTGAATTTTCATGAAGATTCTATTGTCACAGTTGCCCATTGCATGATGGGTGATTAACGAGCACACCTGCCCACACTGCGCTGCGTGTTAGCAGTTTTTGTCCAAAAATGGCATGACCCCTGCAGCCCACCTCACCCCCCATTCACCTGATCTCACGCTCCAAATGACTGTTTTTGTTTACCCGGATGAAAAAAGGCCTTAAAGGGAAACATTTTGCCAGTGTGGAAGAAGTGAAACAAAAAATAGCAGAAGCACTAGAAGGTATCAAAATCGACAAGTTCAAAAACTTTTTAGAGCAGCAGAAAAAAACGTCTCAATGGGTGTATTGCATCAAATGGGGAGCACTTTGAGGGGAACTGAAGTTTAAACATTGAAAACTATATAGACAAGTTTTAATAAATTCCAGTGTTTCTTGGGTCCCCCCTCGTATTACTAATTATTGCTTTCACACTTAAACATTTGAGTGCCCAAAAGTTGATGCCTGTTATTCACACCTTTTTACTTGCAGGTGATAGGAATCCAACTCAAGCTGACTTAGACAAAAAAGGGATATTGGATCACAGAACTAGCAACTCCGGGGAGCGTCTAGGCCAGGCTGGATGCCAGATGTGCTTCGGGCCCTGCCCTGTTGCCAGGCAGGCCAGCCCTTGCGTCACACAGCTGGCTGCCAGCAGGCAGCTGCAGGCTCACAGTCTACCCTGTCGGCAGCCTCAGCGATGGTCCTGCCTTGCTGGTCACTTCTGCACCCAGGCTGACTCCCCAGTCAGCACCACCCAATCCCTGAGACTAAAAATGAGGAAGGCGATGTTCCCGTTTGGAAAAGAATTAGGAACACCAGGCAAGCCACAACAAAATACACATTGCCCATTCTAAACAGCGTGTGGGGTGTACAGGAGGGGTGAGGTACGTACATGTAGGCAGGCATGCATATGTATGTCATACGTGCACATGTGAGGTCTGTCCAGAGGGTGTCCAGCCATGTAATAGGAACAATAGAGACATTTATTGAAGAAGATACAACATACAGGAAACATTGTACATGGGACAATGACGCCTCAGTCCCCTTCAAAGTAGGCGCCTTGGGACCTCACACACTTGTCCCAATCACCATCAGGTGTCCCGTCGTATTTTCCTGAATCTCATCGATGATCTGAAATCTCTTCTTTCAAAGATGGATATAGTTTTGGGAAAACCCTGAAGTCATAGGGCACCAAATCTGGGCCATTGAGGGGCTGAGTAACCTGGGTGATTTGATGTTTTGTCAAAAAACTACATGAGACATGATGCATGAGTGGGCGTGTTGTCCTGGTGAAGCTGCCAATCACCAGTTGCCCACAGCTGCAGCCTCTGAATCATCTGAATAGTTTCCATAGAGGAATGTTCAAGCTTCAAGCAAAATTGGATGCAGATTTGTTGCTGTACTCGCTCAGTCATTTTGAATGAGACGGCCACACAGTGCACATGCTCACTCAGCAGCATCTACTGCCCCCACTGACTAGTACAGTGAAGTTGTCATTGTTCACACATGCGCATTCCAGTCCACTCTCCTTGGCTGCCAGGTTACATCAATGTCACGCAAACATTCTTGTTATATCCACAGTGGCTAGATTTTTTCCAGACCTTGTTTAGTACCAACCCTCACTGAACTTGTCTGGTTGGGAGACCGGGTTGAAGTCTCAATACAAAATATATATAAATGACCCTTTTTATCTTTGTATCCCTAGCACTTAGCACAGTGCCTGGCATTTAGTAGATAATCAAGAATATTTATCCAGTTGCATTAAAAAAGTCTGTAAGGTGGTATATTGCCACTTGAACTTTTCTAAGTAGAGGATCCTTTTAATGATACATATACACTATTATAAAACTTAAAAAAAGGAAAAATTTAAAAAGATTCTTTAAAAAAAGTAAGTTTTACTCTCCCAGTAGTGCCTTAAATGAAAAATAACCTCTTGTTGCACGTGGATGGCTTGTCCCCAGTCCTGTAGCTGCTTGAGTTAACTGCACACACCTCCACAAGCTAACAGAATTCTAAAGCTCTTCCTGGATGATTCACACAGCAGGTAACATTAAACAGGGGGCTCAGGACTTTTTTTTCAGATGAGCATTGAGGCAGTTGTCATGTCACATCATGGTGTCTCAGCCCCCAGACTGGGAGGTAGAGACAGTGCCAGGCCTGCGCGGCGCCTGCAGCGAGAGGCCAGCTCGCAGCGGGGCTGTTCCTAGGGGGACAGGGCCCATCTGCAGCAGGCACAGTGCCGTGGCCGGTGCAGGGAAACAGCAGGGCCCCAGAGGAGCTGGACACGGATGGACGGGAAGAGCCCAGGGCGTGCTCTGTCCGCTCCTCCCGTTGGGAGCAGGTGGTTCCATCAGATGAGTAAGATCTGCCAGGAGCCAACCGACCTGGAAGCTGATGGATATGAGGGGCTCCTTTCCCTCTTTTCTTTTGTAGGTGTTTGAATTTTCCAAAATAAAAATTGAGAAAGACTTTCCCGTCTTTATCCCTCTTTTAGGTTAAAATGTATAATGAGCTAGATTGAAGGTGCCCTAGAGTCCTGGGGGTTTGTTCACAGTTGCTCCTTAGGCCTTCTCGTCAGTTAACGAGCCGCTCCGGGCCAGGGTGACACTGATCTTGCTGTGTCAGCGAATGCGCGCTGTGCTCTGAGCTCTCAGCGCGGGCAGCGGTGCCCAGCAGCTCGCGGTCCGTGCGGTGCTGGCTGGTCCAGCTTCCCGGCCCTGCGGCAAGGCATCCTCACCTTCTGCAAACAGCAGCCGTGTGCGGGAGCTACTGCACTGGGCCCTGCCCTCAGTGCGCATGTCCTCTCTCCTCCCTGAGGGTGGGCGTTCTATGCCCATTTCACAGAGCAGGAGTCTGCCGCGCAGAGAAGTTGTGTTCCTTGTCTCGGCTCACACAGAAGGATGGATGACAGGATGCGAACTAGCTTCTACTGCTCGGCGCCTGTGTCTTCCGCTCCGCCACTCTGGCCTTTCCCTGTGCCCAGGGAGGGCTCTGCCCTGGGTTCCAGGGGGCCCACCCACACACACAGGCTGAGGAGTGACCGTAACACATTTTCTTAAATATAGAAATGGCTTTATTTTGACCGCTAACTCCCATCACTATGTATATTGATTTCATATACACACTAGACTTTTTCTAAAATACTGACTTGTCTCTTTGACTCTAGTTCCAAGATGAGAGCAAATAACACAGTATTTCCTTCTCCCGCTTTCCCCCAGTACACCCTGCGCTGCGACATGAAGCGGTCTCTGCTGGCCAAGGACTTGACGAAGACCTGCGAGTTCATCGTCCACTCCGCTGTAAGCTGTCCTTGGGCCCCGGGGCTCAACAGTAGGAAACTTGTCCCTCAGAGATGGCCTGGCCTGGCACCGAGCAGTCAGGGCCTTGTGTTCCTGGCATACTCCGCAACGACGTACAGGGACAGGAGGGGCACCCGAGAGCAGGGTGGGTGCCCCTCCTAACAGCCTCTGTTGATATTTTGCAGTGATGTAATGTTCTTAAAAAATTCCTTTCACATGTCAGTGTAGGAAACTGGATCCTCCTCCCCAACACCCTCTGCCCTGGCAACTCTGTGTAAATTCCTGGGAGTTCTCTGCAGTCTGGCCGTGCTACGCCTTGGTCATGCAGAACCTTGTGCTGACGGGCCACGTCTGCACTCAGCGTGACACACGGTGGCAGATGCTCACATCCCAGCCCTGGATGCCCTGGGGTGTCTTGGGCCGCCCCAGCCCTCCCACGGCGGCGCTGCCCCTCGCCCGAGCAAACCACTGCCCTCAGCTGAGGGGTGGGGCCCACGACAGCCGCAGCTACGGTGGGGTCAGTGTGTGGCGAATACTCTGGCAGTAGCTCTGCTTCTGAAAGTTTAAAGTCTTTCCCAATAATACCACTCCAATTCTTAAGTCTACTTTTTAAACTCCAGACCTTCAAGAGACCTCAGAGATTAAGAAGGCTGACCCCTCCTTTTACAGATACGGAAACTTAGCGGGACGAATCACCTGGACGTAGACACAAAGGCGTTTTTGGTGGCACTGTGTCTGGAGCCCAAGTGTGCTGCCTCTCAGGGCCGGGCTCCCCCTGGCTCATGGCGCGCGCCCCCACCTCCTTTAAGAAGGGGGCGCGGGGAGAGTCTGAAGGGAGGGCTCTTGGCCCGCAGCCAGCTGATTGTGGCTTTCTCTCCTGTCTCAGCCTCAGAAGGGGAAGCTGACCCCAAGTCCCGTGGACTTCACGATCACGCCTGAGACCTTGCAGAATGTCAAAGAGGTACTGCACTCCCCACGCGCAGGCCACCTGGCGCGCTTCTCAGTGGCCCGGTCCTCGCACAGACTGTCGCCTGCCTGCCCTTTATTTGGGTATCAAGAGGAAACTCCTGATTATCGTCTTACTCAAAATAGTCTGTATTTTCTGTTTTGATTTCTTTTGAAACTCAGTACCTACTTGGAAGACTAGTGCTTTTGAAAAGTTTCTCAGGATGTATGTTCATCATTTCTTAGATCTTCTCTCCATTTTGCGCTGTGGTCAGAGACTCTCTTCCTGAGCTGCGGTCCCCACCACTGCCTGTGCCAGTGGCTGCTGCCTGCGCTTGGCCACCTGTCTCTTGCCATCCATGGACATGGCTTTTCCTTCTCACTCCCAGCCCACAGTCTGCTCTCTGGACACTTTTGACCAGTCGGGTCAAAGGCAAGCTTGGGATTGGGCCACATGAGTGACGCTGGCCTCGTCCCTCGGAGCCACAGCCGAGGCAGGGCCGTTCTGTTGGCAGCCAGCCTTTCGGGGAGTCTGTCACCCGTCCTGCCTTGCCCAGTGGGCCAGTCCAGCGCCCCCTGCAGGGCTCCACTCCACCTTGAGGACTCCCCGGCCATGTGATTAGCTCCACTTTTTCTTAGAAGTTAGAATGTTTGCATTTCTTACTTCTGAAGAATCCTAATGATACAAAACATGGAGTGAGAAGAGGTGCTGAGCAGATAGACAATTCCATCGCAGGTGTCCCTGGTAGACAGCTCCAGCCAGAGTGCAGCCTTTGAAATACTGTCTCTAATAGAGGAATGTAACCCATTCTTTTCTGTTTTGAAACTGTCACATTTTCCTCCTCACATCTTGTCCTATGTTCTGTGGTATACTTTATTGTTTCTTTTTTTCCTCCCCCCCCCCGCCCCTACCCCGTCTTTGGTCTGATTTAGTAAGGTTGTGAGGTTTTGTTTTTGGGTTTTTTTTGTTTTTGTTTTTCCGTTCTTCTTGCTTGCTCCTTTTTATCTTTACTGTCCTATTTCTCCTCTCCTAGCACTTACCCTTAAGTGTGACAGTTGTAAGTTTAAATAATAGCACTGAGAATAAGCACCTCCTGGCAGAAGGTTTGTAACATTTTTGCATTTTCCTCCCATCACACCACCTTGTTTGTTATGTTTGAAATCTGAGTTCTAGCTTGTCACCAGTTTTATTTTTCCCAATGTTAACTCCTTATTGGCTTACAAACCAGTCCCTCACAGTTGCCTCAAGTATCACAGTCACATTCCTTAGCCTTAACTGGAAGTTTTTCCATAGTTGTTGCTCACCATTGCTTCTACTCACTTGTTTTTTCTTTTTCTTTTGGTTTATTTTTTGTTTGGCGGGAATACATCGTGTCATTCTTTCAGAAAGGGTGAGGCATGAACTTAAGTCCTTGAGTGCAGAAAATGCCTTCCTTTGCTCCCACACTTGAATCCTAGTCTAGGCAGAAAATTCCAGCTCTACTATCACTTGCCCTTCGAGCCTTGAGAAACAGGCCTCTGGCTGTCCAGCGCCCAGCGATGCTGATGACAGTGCCCCTCGGATCGTGTGAGCTGAGCCGATTCTTCTCCCTCTCCCTGACCCACCCCCCGAAGTGTTCCAACATCTCCCCTCCTTTGGGCTCTAATGCTTCAGAGTGCTTGCCCAGGGGTGGACCTTGCTTTAGCCGGTGTGCCTGGCGTTTGGTGGTCTTTTTCACCCTGAAGGCTGAGCCTGCCTTCAGCCCCATGGACAGCTCCGTGGTCGCTTCCTGGACACACCGTGCGCAGGAGCGGCCCTTGGCCCAGCCCTCCGGCGCTGCTTCGCTCTCCAGGGGATGCTTAGGGCTCCCGACGGGGTGACGATGCCACACCCCTCGTGCGTTCCCAGGCACGGCTCCTCTTTTATTGCAGATGCAGCGCTGGGTGCGGCGCCGGTCATCTGTGTCTCCTGAATGGACGCTGTTTCTTAGGGGGTCGGTTCCCCTATTTATAGAGCCAGTGCCTCCTTTTCCTGCTTTGCTTTTCCTTGAATGTTTATTGATTCTTGGTTTCCTTGAATGTTTAGTTTGTATTTATAGGAGGTGATCTAATACATACGGCCCTGTTAAGTGGGCTCTCTGCGCTTAGCCCCGCTGAGAATCCGCTCTGGTTACAGACGGGCGCGCTGGCCGAGGAGCGTTGCTTGGAGTGCGGTCCCGGGGAGGAGGCACCGGACCCAGGGGCCTTTCTCTTCGGGCAGGTGTGCAGGTGGTTCACCTGCTGGGTCTCGGGGCTCCTGCGTTGTAAACGTAAATGACTCGGGACACTTGCCCCCCTTGCCCAGCCTGCTTTGGGTCTCCTTGGAGGAAAGTGTCCCCCTTGAGGGAAGCCACGGGCCACCTGGGGCCAGTGCTAACGCCCGAGGCTGCACACGGCCAGCGGGCTACCCCCTGACCAGACCTGACAGGCGCAGCACCCAGGCCCACTGCGAACGCCCGCTCTCAGGGCTCTGCCGACTGCAGGCTGCGGCCCTGAATGCTCGTGAGCGTCGTCGTCACTCTGCGGGGCAGCCTCGGGCTGGTGGTCTGTAGCTGTGCCAGGAGCAGGCCTGTGTTTGTGTGTGTTAATGTCACATTAGTGCGAGGACAGGTGACGTTTGGTAAGTGCCTCCGGCTGGATCCTGAGAGCTTTTCAGTGTTCTTCTTTTGCTTAAAAGAATTTTAACATAGACTGCTACTGCTTATTTTCCTAAATAAAAAGCTTCTTTTATTTGGTCATTTTTAGAACTCTGTCTTGAATAAAGACATTTTAGCACCCCCTGCATCTCAGCCCCAGGTCTGTGCTGTCCGGGAGGGCAGCCCCCGACCGGCTGGCCTGAGCCGAGAGGGGCCGTGAGCGAATACTGACTCTAAGTGGAAGCGATAACATTTTGGATATATTGGCTAATTTCACCTGTTTCCGTTTACTTTTTACAATGTGGCTCATAGAAAAGTTTAAACTGCATGTGTGATTCGCCTTTGTTGCCTGGTTGTGTGCCTGCTGGACAGTGGCGGTCTCAGCTCTGCACTGTCCCCAGTGCCTGGGGCACAGCCAGCACTGAAGACCAGCGTCTACCTCTGCACCCCGTCCCCACCATGGGCCTTCGCCCCTCACTGGGGGACAGTGTCCTCTGTCGACGGAGAAAAGCCACAGGCTTAGAATCGGGGATTGAAGGACTCTCTTTAAGTTTCTTTGAAGTAACGTAAATGTGTTAACTTTTCAAAATTGCATTATTGAGAACATTTTAAAATTGATTATCCTGCAAACCTTTTGGCGTGTGTGTGGGGCTGGCTGTCTGTAAACACTTCCCCGGGCGTCTTACACACCGTTCCCCGTCCGCGGGAGCGCTCCCGTGTGGCCCGGGCAGGGAGCGGGAGGCTGGGAGAGGCTGTGCGGGGTGTCGGGCCGGTGCCCGGCATCTGTTGGTAGAGGTGGCAAAGTCAGGCGGTTAATGAACTTAACAGAAGACGTAAGCAGTGCTACTACTGTACTGTCCACTCCATTTTGTTTGGTAAAAATCCAGGAGATTTTATCAAAATTATCCAACTTTGTTTTCCGTTTTTATTTGTACCCAAATGACTGTTGAGTCATTTCCACTCCTGACGGCTTTGTCTCTGTCTGGTCTCAGAGAGCCTTGCTCCCAAAATTTCTCATCCGGGGCCACCTGAACTCGACCAGCTGCATCATCACACAGCCCCTGACAGGCGAGCTGGTGGTGGAGAGCTCAGAGGCCGCCGTCCGGAGCATCGAGCTGCAGCTGGTCCGCGTGGAGACCTGTGGTAAGACCCTACCGCCCGTCCCCCCACCGTGGGCGGCGGGACATGCTGCGGTGGGAGCCTCCGTTCCGGCAAATGTCTGGGGACAGGGAGGGGCCTCCCGGGAACCCTGGGAGCCAGGGGAGAAGCAGAGCGGGTGTCAGCACAGACCATCTTAGTCTCAGAGCAGCTTAGTCGCTCATGCGGCGCGCTGGACGTTGGCTCTCTCCCAACCGCGTGGTGCTCTCCCTCCTCCAGGATGCGCGGAAGGCTATGCCCGTGACGCTACTGAGATCCAGAACATTCAGATTGCCGATGGGGATGTCTGCCGGGGCCTCTCGGTCCCCATCCACATGGTCTTCCCCCGGCTGTTCACCTGCCCCACGCTGGAGACCACCAACTTCAAAGTGGGTAAGCGCTGGTTGCCGGCCCTCGTGGCCACCCGGGTCTCCTCTGACAGGTGTGGCCCCCAGAAAGGGCCCCCCAGTGCCTGGGATGGACACACCCATCTGCTCAGGTCAGGCCAGCCCCGAGCACGTGTCCTTCAGTCGCTGCACAAAGGCTCACCGAGAAGCGCCGTGCCGGGGCCGGGGGTCTGCAGCGAGCAGTCCCCGCTCTGAGGGCACTTGTGCTGTCACCCAGGGAGACGCCAGCAACCTCACTGGCGTGGGCAGGGGACTAGAAACTGGGCAGGGAGCTAACACAGCGGGGACAAACCAGCTCTGTGCATGGGGGGTCAGGACAGAGATGCAAAACATGGGACAGTCCTGTGAACGTGAGTCATCGCGGAGCCTGGGCTTTCTGGGGACAAGCTCCCGTGTCACAGCAGGGGTTCGGTTTCTGCTTCTGCTGTTAGGCCTGATTCTCTGAGAGAGGGGCAGGGTCCCTAAGGCCGGCGGGCTCTATCCGCATTGCGCCCCTCCCCTGTCTTTCAGGGTGCGTTCTGTGTAGTCCAGAGAGTCTTTGTTTCTAAAATCAGACCACGATTTTACTTGAAACAATTCCAAACAATTTAAAATTTAAGTAAGTACAGTTTCATCACCAAAGCTGAGCGCACGCTGCTAGTCCAGAGGGAAGGACGGCTTGTCGTGCCTGCCACTGAACCGGGCACTTCTCGGACCTTCGTGAGCCTCTGCGGGTGCAGGTCCTGGAGCTCAGCTCACCGGGGTCAGAAGCACAATTTGATGTTTGTGGAGCCCCAAGAATGTGTCATTGGAAACGTCACATGGAGAGCACATGAGACCCCCTGAAAGGGGACAGTCAGACTTGACCCAAAGTACCACGGTGTTTCTCAAAAGCCACGTGTGTGATTATCACGAAAGCGGTCGTACGTGCCCACAGTACAAAAGCCAGAGGCGCCAGGGCCTGAGAGCAGGGGGAGCGCCCTCGGCTGCCTGGCGCCGCCCCAGACCACAGCCTGCCAGCCGTGCCCGGGTCCGAGGGGCGGCGTGCCCGCAGCCCCAGCGCCGCCCTCGCGGGCACACTGTGCACACGGTCTGAAGGGGCTCTCGCTTTCCATCCAAGTGCTTTGATTCTAAGTTGAGGAGGAATCTCTGTTGATTTCTCCATTTGGTTTTCCTACATAGACTTCAGAAAGATCCAAACAATTATTTTCTCTGCTATCTGCTCACGAAGCACCTGAACCTGTAAGAGGCAGTTCTGTCAGAGTTATAACGCGCCCCTGTGCCGTTGGTTCGGGGTCCCTGGTCCTCCCATGTACGTATTGCTCTCAGCCCCCCCGCCGGGACGCCAGCCGTGCTCTTTGCTCGCACCTGGCACTGCAGAGTGGGAGGCGCCACGGTGGGGGGTCCTCGCGCAGAGGAGGGCGTGCAGCCAACTGCGGAGGGCAGCAGCCTCAGCAAGGCCTGGAGTGGCCCGCGTGGCCGGCGGCGGTCGGGCCGTGTCCCTCCGAGGGGTCACACCCCAGCCTGGGAGGCGGGAGCGAGCCCCTGATCCCGAGGCGGGGGCGGTGTCTGGTGCTGATCACACGGGTGACGCCGTGCGCTGGTCAGGCCAAGTCGGGAGGCTTGGCCATCTGGATGCCACTGCTCTGCTGCGTCCCATGCCATGAGGACAGCCAGCACCACCTCCCAGAGATGGCCCCACTCCCTGACGTGTCCTCTCTGTGCGTCGGCCACACCGGCCCTTCCAGGGGATAACAGGTGGCCCGAGGGGAGTGGAAGCAATGATGCTGGGAGGGCCGGGGGGCCCTTATCGCTGTGACCCTGATCAAAGGAAGGAAGGGAGGGACGGACGGGTGGACGGGACGGCACTGCTCGGGGCAGGCGACAGCAGCACACGGGACGTTGTCCTCGGGGCTCCAGCCACAGCGGGGGCCCCGGACCAGGTGGCCCCAAGCCCCTTCCACAGCTGAGCTCCTGTGCAGGACGGGGCATGGGGCTGCCCTTGTCCCTCCAGCCCTCGCAGGCCCTGCCACCTCCCTCTGCCCTGAGCGGGGGTGGGGGCGCCGGGCCTGTGCTCAGGGAGCTGTCCCCTCGCACCTCTTTTGCCACGTCGACAAGCCTCTCCTGTAGCAGCTAAAGAGCTGGTGGAGAAAGTTTCCGTTTGCTGAAAGGTCAGAGATGAACGGCTGACAAGGTGTTTCAGCTAAGCTCACGGTGCCCAGAGGAGCACGTGAAACCAGACGCCTTGCTGACTGCTGTTTCCCCGGGGGTGGGGGCGGCGCGGGGCCGGGCACTCGGGCAGCTGCAGGCCGGTGTGGAGCTCACTGTTTCATTAAGAGCTGCAGGAAACGTAAAAATAAAGCAGAGGAGGGTAAGCGAATTGAAAAGGTTCCAGAAGATTCTCTCTAGGAAAGTGTGGCTGGGGAAGCTGATGTCTACCTGCTCCCGGGCGAGGAGGTGTGTCCTGGGAGCAGGTGCCCAGGAGGCATCAGACAGCAGTGCAGCCGTCTCCATGCTGACCCAGGAGCTCAGGGTGACGGCTGTGGGACACGACACCAGGTCCCTCGCTGCTCGGAGCTGGCTGGGCCTGTGCAGGGCTTGGCCTTGGGTTTCCGTGGCTCCTGGAAGGTGAGCTAAAGCCTGTCTGTCCTTTGTCTTCTCAGAATTTGAGGTGAACATCGTTGTGCTGCTTCAAGGCGATCACCTCATCACAGAGAACTTCCCGCTGAGGCTCTGCAGGGTGTAGCGGGCAGAGCAGCGGTGAGGCGCAGCCATGGGAGCCCTGCGGGCTGGAGCCCCGCACAGGCCGCTGTCCCCGTGACGGCTCCGCTCCAGAAATGGACCTGGGATCACAGTCACCCTCTTCCTCGTTTCCGCGAGTCTTCGGCGGCCGGCAGGTGCCTCTAAATTCATTGGGATTTCCTAATGTTATCGGCAAGGTCATTTCAGAAAGCAAAATTTCTCAGGCCGCCTGACTCTCCTGCTGCTGCTTAGGGCCAGAGGACAGCGGTAACAGCAGTTGGAGCTCTGCTGGGAAGTGAGGTCCCAGGTCGGCAGGGAGCAATCCCCTACCCTGTGCCTGGCAGACAGATGGGTCTAGGACTGCAACCGCAGAGCCACCGCAGGACAGGGACAGGTGTGCCCCTTGCTGGTGGCATCCACAGATGCCCTCTGAGGTGGATGCCCTCCTGGGAGGATGCCCAGTGGCCGCCACTGCAGAGCTCTGTAGTTCTCCGACACTGTTCACAGTAAGTTCTCTTACAGAACTGGAAGAAAGTGTTCCTTGCTGTCATTGGACTGAGGGGATTTGGTGACAATGGCTGAAGTATTTCTGAAGTCTTGGGACCTGGTATAAAATCACGTGCCACTGGGTTCCCAGAGTGCGCTTCAGGGCCAGGTTATGAGGGGGCCACAGGTGTCTGTGCCTGGTGTTGGGTGGGTTCTGAGCAGCAGGAGGCTCGTTTCTGGGGTAGTAGGTGAAGGCCTGTCTACACTGGCTGGTGCCAAAACAGTGCCCTGGACCCGATGAACTTGGCCTCTCTCCAACTCCCAAGGGACCTGTGTCCCAGCCAGGGGACTGGGCCTGAAACCACTTCCTCCATAGCCCCGTTCTGTGGTTCACAGTGTGTGGTGAACCTGTCACAGCCCATTTCTTCCTTCCTGTCCTGCCATCTCCCATTGGTCCACCATTGACAAGCCCTCAGAAATAAGTGCTGCGCTTTGCCTGCCGCCAGGCCTTCCCTGCCAGTCTCCCGCATGGGCGGGCTTGGGCAAGGGGGGCTCAGGTGGACAGCCATCATCCCTGGGCGGCATCTGACGTTGTGTGATGCTGAGTGCAGACCGCCCCGACCCAGGAATGGCTTCACCCCAGGACTCCACCAGAGAGTGTGACCCTACTTACACAGAGCCATTCAAAGGCCAGTTCCCACAGGACACATTGCTGGTTCATAAGTCTCCTCTCATGCTCACATTTGTCTTTGACGATGGGTTTAAAGTAGCAGAAAACAAAGAGGCTCTACTTCTGGGGACATTTCACAGGTAGAAATCATTTTTAATGGAAAATAAACCTAAGTGAGAATTTTGAGGAATTGTTTCAGAGGTATAATGCTATGTCATTTCTTTATTAAATCCATTTTATGGGCATAAGTAGGACAAGTACTCTTAGGGAATCATTGTTACCTGAAAAGGGGCCACAGCACAGCCACCCTCCTCCTTTCCTTCACCCTGGGAGGCTCTGGCAAGGGCCCCAAGCTGGACATCCCCTTCCCCTCTGTGGCCAGGCACCCCGACCGGTGGTTGTTAAGGGAAACTCAGATGTCTGGCTGCCCTGGCTGGAGCTGGGGCTGTCCACTCTTGGAGGCTGGGGTTGTCAGATTCTCTCATTTGAGGAAGAGGCGGTGAAGGAAAAAGTCTAAACTATGAATTTACTGTTTTGGAACTGTCCCTTTTGGCAGAAACACATTTTGGCCATTGAAGTTCCAGTAGAATTGGGGCCTGGCTCCAGTTCTCAGCCATGTTGCAGATTCCAGGGAAGGTCGACAGGTTGAGCAGAAATAAAATGTTAAAAGAACCAAGCATTGTGCCTGAGTTTGTCCAGAGTCCCTGTCCCAAGCCCACCTGTTCTGATAGCTGGTGGGAGGTGGAACCCTGGCACTGTTTCCGCCCTTCCCATGGGAGTCTCCCAATTGCTGGACCTAAGCCTGACTCACCCCTTTGGTGCTGAGTACCCCCCATGTGCCAGCAGTGAGTGGGGCTATAGCAGGCCACCAGCTTCTCCCACAGTTCCTCTGATTCCCTCTTCTTGTTCAGGAACATGGCTGTGTTGTCATGGAGACATGACCACCTGGCAAGAGACTTGTTTCCGACTCCTTTGCAGCTAAGTGTAGTCATGTGATGAAGGATATGGGCCACTGGAGGCCAGATCCCACTGGCCTCATTCCACTGCTGGACCAGGAACAGGCCTGTGTCCCAGCCTAGATTGTGCCAGACACAAGAAGTGAGCAGAGCACCTCACCTCCTCACCCTGTGTCAATTAACACCATCATCATCACAGGAGAGAGGGAAAAAAATGGGCTTGCTCTCAAGCCTCTGGATTCGTGGGTATCTTGGCTGTAGTTGCCAAAGAAAATGGGCTGGTTTTCACTGTCATTCACTATCCAGACAATTAAAAATGATTAAGTTATGGTTTCCCCAGAAAAAAGTGTCAACTTACTACCAAGAATAACTTCTGTAATGACAGCTGTAATGCATCCATTTTGTCCTCCATTTTGGGAAGAGAGGTGCGTGCAGCAGACTCAGTGGTGTGCTGGCTGCCGCCTTCTAGTGCCAAACGTCTTTGAAACTTGCCAGGAGGCCTCCCTCCAGGGAGGCCCTACCTCAGGTGAGGCCGACACCCCCTCAGACGGGTGGGCCACATGCTGCTCCAGGAGCTCCGTCCTGGCAGGTCAAGTTGCCGGGGTATTTAATAGGTGCCAGCTGTGGATGTGGGTCTCCTGAGAATACGTGCCGGGGAAGTACTGGGTGTGCCTCTGGGTCAGGCCCTGCTCTGGGTGCTCTGCCCCTGTCATCACTGTGGAGCAGCCCTCGGAGGAGGGGAAGGCTGTGTCCCCTCAGCTTGCCTCATCGGGGCTTCACGTCGCCACCTCGGTCTCCTCCGGTTTCCCCATCACACGTCATCTGTGCCAGCGCATTTGTTGAGAGGAGCCGAGGGCTCTGCTACCTTTGCTCAGAATCTAATCGCCCCAGTTTTGATCAGGTGAAGCAAATGAAGAGGAGTTCAGACATGAAGGCAGTATTTGCAGCTGGATCCAGTTGAGGAATGAGGTGCGTGGGGAAAGACCCCAACACCCCACGTAAATCACATTCTGGTCCTGAGTTCTCTCCCATCCCGTGAGAACGCTGGGGAATGTCCTGACCCCACTCCGAGCGCTAGAACACGGTGCAGTGGCCTCGCAGCAGCCGTGGGGGGGGCTGTTGCTCCCGCTTCACCACGGAGCGGGGAGGCCAGGACCCGCCCCATCCCTGTCACGGCCACGTCATGGGCCAGTGTTCCCCCAAACTGTCCTGACTCCCTCAGCGAGGTGTGCATGTGACCTTGTTCACAGGGGCCATCATGAGCCCCAGTTCTTCACAAACCACTCTTCGTAATTCCCAGCTGATACCCAAAAGGGCGGAAGGAAGTTGGTGAAGGACGCTGTTGCCACGTAAGGCGTGCCCCAGCTCACTCACGCGGGGACTGCGCGCGAGCGGAGACGGAAAACTGCGCAGCAGAGCCGTTGCCTGGGAAAACGCCCTCTGAGGGGAGGGCCCCCTTTTGAATATAAGTAATTCTGTAACCACAAGACTCAAAACAAACCACTTGAGTAGAGAAAGAAATCACATGTGGGGGTGAGAGCAGGTCTCCCAGGTCGACGGGTTCTGCGCTCCAACCTCAGAAAGCGATTGATGTCTGAGGCTCACCGAGCGCTCAGAGCATTCAGGACTGACTGTCCTCAAAGTTAAGGGCAGCTCGTGTAGGAGCAAAGCGGATCCAACCACACAGACCACACAGTGTGGCCAAGTCATTATGGCGTATCGTTCAAAAGAAGAGGGGGCAAACCGAGGCCTGAAAACAGCGAGGATCCCTGATTTCCCCACTCGGCTTTCCTGTGAATGTTACTGGGGAAATGGGAAGGCCTTGGGCCCCCACCCCAGGAGGCAGGATTCCGACTTTGTGGGGTGAATCACCCCAAGCCCAGCCAGCCACGCAAAAGCCCCCCCCCGTGTAACACTGAAGGCACCGCTGCAGGGTCCCAGTTACCTGGGAGAAGACAAGACAGTCTGCTCCGGCTTCCTCAAGACTCACCCGGCTGGAGGGAGCCCCTGTCTGATCGAGGCCAAGGCCACAGGGGACACCAGAGCGCCCGGTTTGCCTGCGATCGGCACTGTCACTTCCAGGAAGAGGCCTGTGTCTGGTGGCCCCGCAGGCCCCGCTGGGGTGAGCGGCTCCGGAGAGGAGGGCTCCTGAGGGGCACGGTTTGTGGAGCAAGTGCCCCACCAGGCGGGGGTGTCGCTCCTTTCTCGGGGTCACTGTTCCCCACCTTCATCAAAGACTAGCACTTCAAGACCATAACCCCTGGGTCTTAGGTGACAGAAATGGGACAAGCTTTCCTGCCTGCAAGTGAGCAGCCCCTGATGGAGCCACCTGGGGCCACCAAGAAAAGGCTGTGCTCAGGTGTAGCCGTGGGAAGCAGCAGAAAAATCAAGTCGTAAATATTCATTTAAAAAAAGTTTCAACAGCAGTATGCATTAAGAACAACTTCAAAACCCAATACATAACAAAGACCAAATTTAAGAAATGAGTATATACTTCCTAAAATGTTCACTACTGTGTGCCTTTATAGCTTACATAAAATACGTAATTTTTAATCCACAGAAAATTTTCAACAGTTATATATATTTTTTGCCACAAAGAGTAAAGATCACAATAAAATTTTAAGTAGAAGTTGCCCAAGCCATATATCCTGTAGTTCAATAAAATTAGAAATGAATACCAAAAGGAAAATCAAAATTCAATATAAGCACTTGTAAATTACATAACAGTGATCAAAGAGGGAACCAAAACTTCATTTACAGGCCCTCTTATTTTATTTTTAGAGATTATTTATTTTTAGAGAGGGGAAGGGAGGGAGAAAGGGAGAGAAACATCAAACGGTTGCCTCTCAACACACTCCCCGATGAGAGACTGAACCTGCAAACCAGGCACATGCCCCGACCAGGAATCGAACCAGCGACCTTTCATTTTGCAGAATGACTCCCAGCCCCTGAGCCACACCAGTCAGGGCTACAAGACCTTTTAAATTTAAATGAAAATGAGCCAATATACACCAATAGCCAGTGCTGCAGTCACAACAAAACTCATAGCCTTAAATGTGCTTATTATACCAGAGAGAATGAAAACTAATGAGTTTAGGCATTCAAATGAAATGTCTAGAAAACAAAAAACTTAAGAGGAAAGAATTAATGATAAAATCAGGAATTCATTTGAAAGCAAAAACACTACAGGAATATTTATAAATAAGTCCATCCGTTGGTACTTTGAAAAGACTAATTCAACTGAAAGATCTTAGAGCAAAACAAAACATGCACAAAAAGAAATATGGAATGCTAGGAACAACTTCAGATTAGAGCCCATTAAGAATTACTGGGTTGACCAAAACATCTGTTTAGTTTTTTCCGTAAAAGTCACATTTTTCGTTTTCACCAATAACTTTATTCATTTGGCTATTCTGAGTATGTCGGCTATCTCCTGCTATTGGCTTCCAGCAGGAAGAGGCCAGGGGAGCTGCTAAACATCTTCCAGTGCATAAGACAGCCCACAGCAAAGAATTACTTGGCCAAAATGTCAATAGGACCAAGAAACTTCTCAAAGCATTTTTGACACGTTTGATCAGTCACAGCACCTTCTCCGTACACGGCGTAAGTCTTTTTTTGCATTTCAGTTGCATTTTCACCTTTCTTGAAATAATGAAGCACAATACATGGAAAATGTTGCTTATTTTCTTCCATCTTCAACATTAAAATGGCTACACAAAAATTCACCAATTTGGTAAGTTATTTTTAAATGCATGCTGATAAGACAACTGTCACAGTACAATCTAACAAAAGTGTTTCTAATGAAGTTAAAGACTACTAAGCGCTAGTAATGCCATCGTATGGAAAAAACCAACGAAATTTTTGGCCAGCCCAGCATTAGCCACGCCGCGGCGGTCCCCGGGATCCGTCTCCTGCCTCGACAGGGTTTGCACGGCACAGACCCGGGACGCCCCTTCTTCCAGCTTCCCACGCCCCACCCTCCGACCTCTCGTCCAGTTGCCACCTTCGGAAGCATCTCAGCCACCCTCGGCCTCCGAGACCAGCCACACTGCCTTTTGACCTTCACTCCTGACTTGCTGACCAACCGCGAGCTCCCAGATTTCCTAGAATTATCCGCCGAGGTGGATGCCCCGTGAACCACCCGGTCAGTCTGCGTCTGCGGGCCTCCCCGTCCTACCTCCCTCTGGCCTCTGTCTCCACTGGTGAGGCTGTGGCCCTGCGGAGTATGGGCTGAAGCCCAGGGTGCCGAGCGTCGCTTGAAGATGCAAAACGAGCGCAGTGTCCACACCCTCTTCCAGGACGTGCACAGGCCGTCCCAGGAGGAGTGGGTGACACTCCGGACGCCAGGGGAGCCCCCTCGTCCTGGAGGAGACCCTGACCCGGGCCCGTTGGACCTGCAGGCCTGGGCTCCGCCCGCACGGCTCCTCGGCTCCGGGGCTTCCTGGGGAGCTGTGTCCTGACTAAGCAGGGGAAACGCATCGTGAAGATAGGCGACACCTGGCTCAGCACCGCAGGCGGGCGGCCCCCAGGCTGGGAAGGCATCCCCTCAAAAGGCCCCCTCAAGCACAACCGGGAGCCCGTAGAGCTCAGAGGCCTTCGAGGGTCCCCTCTGCGACCCCCGCTGTCTGGCTCCTGCCTGAGCCCTTCCCTGCAGCCGCCAGGCAGCCTTTTCACCCCCTGGGGCCTCCCCCCCGCCCCCGTGCCGAGGCCCACAAGGAAGCAGTACAGCTTTCTGCA